TTTTAAAAAAATAAAAAATATTTAAAAAAAATAATATAATATATCGTCCATATCCGTACAAAAATGTTAGAAATTGTCATATATTAATTAATAATTTCAATTTATTTAAAAAATATAAATATTTATTAGAATTATAAAAATTACAATATATATTAAAATAAAAAATATATCAAACCAATATTTTATTATTTTTTTCAATAATATTTTATAAAAATATATTATTAAAATATTTCATAAGAATTGTTTGCCAAGAAAATTTTCTATTGGGATTTATTCGATATTTTATAATTCCAATTTATTAATATATATAGAAAAAAATAATAATTTAAGTTGATTAAGTGCTATAATTCTTAAGTTTTGAGTTCAAATGTCAGGTAGCAACGGGTTCAATGTCGCAAGAGTGATAAACAAAGCTTCCTCAGTTCCTTAGAATAATGCGAGAAGCACCCAGGACCAAAAGGGTTTGTATGATAGCCACCTCCTGAGAAGCTGATGGTTCAAACCTTCAAACCCCCACACAAAGTAGCTCCCTCATGAACCTCCTCTCCTTGGATCTTCGGACCCTCTCCAGACCTAGTGGCGGATCGTTCGCGACTTCTGCCGAGGACAAATATTCACATAGCGCGTGAACAGAGAGGCTGGGTCTGTAGCGGCATCGTAGCCACTTCTTTCATCAGCGATCACCTGGACAAACTGGACAAACCAAAGTTTTCTTTCGCTCAAGATGAAACGAAGTATTATATATATATATATATAATTATATATAGTGATATAATACTGATATAATACGTTCCCCAAATGGTTGTAATTGGTTGTATATAACTATAATATACTTTGCTACCCAGTTGTTCTTATCAGGAGCTCCAGTCCTCTTTTGTGGAACGCCCAGTCCTCTTCGAATCCACCGAGGCCACCAAAGGCCACCAACAAGTGCCTTAGCTGCGATAGCTGCGATAGCGATCCCCGGATCACCTCTGGGAGAGAGAAAATTCTCAAAATCACCACTACCAGTTATGAAGAAAAACCCAACTTCAAACGTGGAAGAAATCCGAATCTAAATTTTGGTCTCAAAGTCGCTCAAGGTCAAGCTTTGCAATTGCGGAGTGTCGACGCTACTTCATCCAAGCTCTGGTCTAAATGCCAGCCAGACTTAAATTTCTGCAAAGATGCTGGCAACGTTTCGCGATGGAAGCTCTGATCGAGCTCCGTAAAAGAAGTTGCATCCCATATGTTTGGGCGACCCCATACGTGCCACGGTCAAAACCATGGCATATCGGATATAGTTATCTATCCCACAATGGCAATATAGTCTGAATCCAAATCTCTATCAATGGATTGACGACCATCCCCCAATCAGTGAAAATAATATGTTTTGACCATGGCACATATCTATATTCTTACAAAACTAGATCATGTTCAATCACACTTCAATCTCAAACTTGAAATCCATCATTCATCATATCCTTCATCTTCAAAATAGATCCAAGTCCCCCAGTTTCAACAACCAAACTCCGGTCCCCCAACAGTTCACCCAATGCCCCGGTGGGTTTTGGGGACCAACGGGACCAGATGGGACCAGGCGCCCCGACTGGAACTTGGGCAGACGTCCCAGGCCCAAGATTTCGCCGCGCTCAGAGGTGCCGATGGTCAAATCGTAGCGCTCGAAGGGGCACTCCTGCGGCGCTATATCGCGCGGGAAAAAAAAAAAAAGGGGCGAAAATGGAAAGGCCAGAGATTAATTAATATGACTCTATAGACTCTATATCTATGACGATGAGAATATCGATGTATCTACTGTACATATCTCCATCTATATGTCTATCTGGATCGATGTTCATGTCTTTTCCTCAATGGGAATGGTGGTTTTGGCCAGGTTTGATTGCCGGAGGAGCCCTATAAATGCCGTCCAAAGATAGGATTCCATCTTACCATCTAGGCTGAAATCCTCGTACTGCCACTGTTCCCTCCCCGAAGCTTCTCCTCAAACACAGCCTTCAAACTCTTGGCCAGCCTGTAGCCACGCGACATAGCGACACTGAAACTCGTGGTTTGAATAAGAATATAAAAACACGTTCTCGACCTGTTGGAAATTGGGATTAATCTCAAAAGAGGTGGCATATTCTTCCGTTCACATTTCGGTATCAATTTCTGAATTGAATTCAGGTGCATGTTCCACTTCAAGTGATCTCCATCAAACAACTAATAGGTCCTCCCACATGCTAACTCCTTCCCCAATAGAAACAGCAACTTCTCTAAAAACAAATAGCTGGCAACCGAAGTTGCCGGGAAAGTCTCCCATCAATCAGTTGGGTGAGAAAAAAGTGAAACGTTCCAGGAAACCATGGTTTTCCCCGTCTTTGGTGGTGGTTTTCCATGGTTTTCCTGTAAATCGTCCCTTAAACCAATTCGGGGATATCCCTGAAGTCTTGGAATTCTACTATCACTGACACACCTTGGCATAGCTTCACCCCAATTTCGGAATCAATGACCCCTAGCCACCCCCCGCCTCGTTTGGAAGCCCCAGTAGAGCCCACTCTTGGTCCGCGGCTCGGACGGTTCAACGGCCACACCTGTCGGTCCCCAGAGTCCCATGGCTCAATTACTCCACAAAAACATGGCTCGCTACCAACAAAATTCTCATGTCAAGTCCTAAGTTGAAACGCAAAGAGAAAGAACTAAGAACTAGGTCAAATACTGAGAACTGATCATTTTTTGGGGGACCATTGATAGTCCAAAATTTCACCCACCTCGCTGCACCTCACCACTGCCGCGCCCGCGGCCGCCACGCCCACGGCCGCGGCCACGCAGGCTGCCGGAAGTGGTGGAAGCCGCTTCGGCATCCTGTGGGCCGAGATCACCAAAAGATATGTCTGTTTTCCCAGGTCAATCCATGAAAAATGGGAATTGATCCATGAAAAACGCTTATTTATCCATAAAAAAATGGTGATTCAAGCAGTAATGATGAAAGATCCTGGTCAATGGATTGCTTTGAAAGAAATCTGCAAGAAACTGGCTGGGAAAAAAGTTAATGATTTGGAGATTCACCGAATCAACGACCGAAATCAACCCTGCTCCCCGCAGATAATTGTCATTGTCACTCCCGACTGCATATCTACGGAGGTTTAACCAGGTTTACCATCTGGTTATTTAACATAGCCATGGAAAATCACCATTTTTGATAGGTAAACCATCTATAAATGGGCCATTTTCCATGGCTATGTTAAATAACCAGAGGGTAACATGGTTTAACCAACAAAAAAAGGAGATTCACCATGATTCACCTAGGACCAGGAAAATCTCGGATAAGGCCTCCAATTTACAGTGGTTGATACAGCGATGGAATCTCGGTGACCATCCTACAGAGGTTCACACCTCCAAGCGCACCGTGACACGCACGTCGCTGGCGATTTCTTTTCCTGCAGCGTCAAAAAGGCTACAATGGCTACAACACACGAAATGGAGGCAGTATGGAAGCTACATTTCGATCAGTTTTCCAGGTACAGTACGTCTCAGTAGGTGATGAAACGGTCTGAAATGATGTGGCAGGGAGTGGATTTGACATGAATTGACTAACATAAAAAGACGAGTGAACCTAAAAAGCGCAGGATTTCATGTCCAATGCGTCCTCGAAGCCACACAGGCTCCGGTAGGCCACAGTTCACCCAGCAACCTGCTGCCATGAGAGGTAGATGTTTGGACTGATAGATTGATATATTGGCAGATTGATAGATGGATTGATAGATAGATATATGATATAATATATGATACAATATATATATATTGATATATGATATATGATATATGATATATGATATATGATACAATACATATTACATATTACATATTATATATGACATGTGATATATATATATATATACATTGAGAGATAGAGAGAGAGAGAGAGCAAGAGAGATACAGGCATCAGACATATGTTTCTTTCTCTATAACACTCTATGTGTCATAGAATCATAATGAATCATATACATGTGAATGTGACGTTGGACATACAACTATATATATATGATTTATATGATATATCTGTTCCATTCTATTTCAAGGATAACAGTTTGACAGCCCCCTCGCCCAAATCAACCCGGCACCTTTCTCATCCTCTGTCGGCGCTGGCCAACCCTTCTGCAACACCACTCCTGCAATGGCCCAATGGCAGCAAGCAAGAGCAGCAAGAGCAGCAGAAGATAATGATTATAATGATGAAGAAGAAAAAAGAAGAAAAAACAAAAGAAGAAGAAGAAGAAAAAGAAGAAGAAGAAGGTTGCCAATGCCTTCCGACCTCCATTGCCCCCCATTGCCCCCCTTTGCCCCCCTTGCCCCCTCCACTGTCCCCCGAGTCGCGCCGATCCTTCTCGGTACGGCAAGTGCTCGTGCTTTCGCAGGTGATGCGGAGCATCAAGTGGAGCCAATAGACCCACCCACTTCAGGTCCTGAGGGAACCAGCGCTGGTAGAGACATGACGCCGTAAGAAACTTCACACATCAACTTAAATCGACCACAAAGAAATAAGTTATCCTCTGGTAAACTAACATAACTATGGAAAATCACCATGTTTAATGGGAAATTCCACTATAAATGGTCATTTTCAATAGCTATGTTAAATTACCAGAGGGTAGAATCAGAACTAGAATCAGTTGGATCAAGTTGGAGCAGGTTGGAGCATCCAAGTCCCATCCTCCATCCTTTCCCCGAAAGTTTCCCACCAAATCAAGGCTTCACAGGGGCCTTGTGCACCGGCACCAGCTGCTTCCGCAGGTACTGAGGCGTTTCCAAGTACTGCAAGTTCCGCGCGAAGAAGGCCATGCCATTTGAGATGCCGTCCTGGTCATATCGCATGTGGGACCCCGGGTACAAGTGATACTTCTATGACAATGCTAAAATCCGATCTATAGCTAAATTACCTAGAAAAGACCCACTTGAAATATGACTGGTTCCCACTATCAGCTGTGGTGTCGGAAACTATGAGGTCGCGACATTTCCAATTCAGCATCAGTTTGCTGGTGGCATCCCCATTTATATGCACTTTATAGATGATCTTCCCATTCCAAAGGGGGGGTTTAATCGGTAGTTTGTAGATCTGCGGAGTCCAAAATAGTCTGTAGACGGAGGTTCACCGCTAGAAAAATCTGTAGGCCTTGACACACCTGAAAATACCCAAAAAAGAAAAAGGAAAATGCATTCTTTGGTGGTTACCGTAGCTCCCGATGTTGGTTTTTTTATATTGGCCGTACCATCTGCCGAGAGGTTCGTCCATCTCTTCGCCCTTCGACCGCGGAAATCCATGACCCAAAGACCAGTTCCTCATCGCTGCTTGGAGCGTCCGAACGATCTTCAAATATCACCACCTGGGGAAGGTAAATTGAAGCGTTTCTCAGGGGATTACTATAGTATCATCCTTAAATGTCATTGGTATTCTCCTTAGTTTATCATGAGTATTCATGACATACCCTCTGGTAAACTAACATAGCTATGGAAAATCATCATTTTTCATGGGAAAATCCACTATTTCTATGGCCATTTTCAATAGCTATGTTAGTTCACCAGAGGGTATATAATCTTTAATATTTTCCTTAGATGTCACCGTATCTTGGACCATCGATGTGCTTTTTTCATATGTCACTTACTGTCGGCGAGACTTCGGATGACCAAACTCTGTCAGGGCGACCCGGACCCGGATGGGTGTGGAATCTGCCAAGAACAAACAGCTACTTTGCAATGTGGCAATGGTCTGAGATGATGAGCATGATGATCGTTTTGGTGTATGACCAAGCAATGGTGCGGTTGAAAGCCAACGATAAAGACATGCCATGATATTCCCTAGACTTGACTCCGCGGTCCTCACTGCAGTTGCTATCGAACTATCAATATCCCCCATCCCATTCATAAGTAATCTTGGGATAGAATAATATTCCTAATAATCCCATCATCCCATAATATATGAAAATTACCCCATTCATCAAGAAATCAGTTCCCCCATCCCATCACATCCCATCATCGCCTCATCCACGCCATAGATCGTCAGCGCCCGCGCCATCTGCCCCACCAACAGCGCCTTCAGCTCCCCACCCTGCGCGTTCTCCACGATGCTCGCGGGCAGCGCCACGCTGAGGGTCTCGGAACGCCCCGACTTCCGCGGCCTGGCGATGAGGTGATGAGGTGATGTGGCGGTTTTTGAAGTTGGGGGACTAGCATCTGCAAGATGAATATGTGGCAGTGGGTCAAAACCTTGTACCCCTGGTGAACATAAAAATAGCTGGTAAATGGATGTTCATCCCTCTAAAAATGGTATTAATAGGTATTGATTCATAGCCATGTATGTTTTAAGGGACTGGCTTCCAAAATGGAGCAAGAAAATCTGAGAGAGTTTTGAGGAGCCGAGACTTTTTGGGGGATGCAACCACCCATTGACAAGTATCCCCATGTTTGGTTGCAAAAGTCCCCTTATTAGGTGCAATTAAACTGCTAAGGCTCATCTCTTCATACCTCAGGGTGTGCCAATCCGCCTCATCATCTTGAGGGCCGACGGCTTGGAGGTGTTCACAGAACCTCCCGTTGGTCCAACCAGCAGACACCCACCAGAAGTCCCGCCAAATCATGATAAATTAGACCATTCTAAATATTCCAATATTGAAACCCATGGTAACTTGGGGATCCTCCATTTCAAGAAACCTTCATGTATTTGCATCATAATTTCATAGCTCAAACTGAAACCTATCACAGATTTGGAGCGCCTTTCGCCGCCGGTGTCTCTGCTTCCTGCAGGGGATGAAGTGCAGAATAACGGAGCTGCTACCTGTTTTTACAGCCCATTTCTACCACGAACACTAATTCATCACTTACCATATTCAACCCCCATTGTGGTTGTGCAATAGATGAGCTAGGTATACTCAAAAATAGTATGATGACCATATTCAATTCCTCCGCGTAAGGGTTGCCGCATTGGGTCTAAGTCTAACTATTGGATTTTGCACATCAACACTTGCTCAGCTGATGGTTCACAGCTGAAATGACCAATCTGATGAGCAATGTCTGGACCGATGGCTGCCTCGGCCTCATCATCACCTTTCTTCCTCTTCTTCACCATGGCTCCGGACTGCGCCACAGCTGGTCTTAGCTCACGGTTTTGAAACACCTTTTCAGACTACGAAGTTGAACGAATTGATGACTTCAATCGAACGTCGTTAAGCTCACAGGGACACAGCCATTGACAGTTCAACCAGTCAGCAAATGTTCGATTTCTGCAGATGGAGAAACCAATTCGTCTGCGGGTACATTTTGTGGCTTGAAACTGCAGCGCAGGTGATTTGAATCGGAAAATTGCCAAGGGTACATCATGTGGCATTTAGTCACACCATCCAGTGGTACAAATGGCTAACTTGCCAATTCTCACAGATTTGCTCGGCAAACGTCCGCCTTTAAGAATGACCACGCCGCGACCCAGGGCCCCTCCGCCTTTTTTCCACGCCATCTCTACGCAAGAAATGTCGCTGCCGGTGGTCAACCATAGTGGGGGAAATGATCCGCACATCCAACGCAGCAGTGCCAGTGCAATAGCTTGATGAGACCTTGATAGCTATATCATGGGTTATCATGGTAAGTCCTTGTTTACATATTGCTTTACAGGCCTAAGTGTTTGGGGAGGCCTTTGACTCACACTTATCCTGGTAAGTAAAGATTGCCTGAAGCTCCGCACATATCTCCCCAGACAAAGTACCAGCTGGCAAAGAGTTCAATACCCAAAATCAACAAGTTGATGTTGCTTTCCCTGTCCATGCCATGTGTTGGCATTTACCATCCCAACAAAAGCCAACTGGGGACCCAACTATCTTCCAACGGTTGACCTCCAGCGTGAACCTGTTGAAAAAAACAGGTCCTATGACCTGGCCGTCTCGATTTTGCCATAGCGCAACAACCGAGTGCACCGGGCGGTTTTTCGTTTTGGATGTCTTTGGGAACCGGTCACCGGAGGGGTGTTCCCTTTCTGGCGACTCCGTCGGAAGCCCCAGGGTTTCAAAGCAGCCTTGGATAGCTCTCCGATCACCCAAAAAACGATTCGGATCGGTTGCAACCTTGTGTGCAATTTTTTTGGAACACGATTCTTCCTGGCAAAACGACAAGAAGGATCACGAATATCTGACATTCGTTTTCTCTCATAGAAATGCCTGCATTTGGATTTCTCGGCATGGCTCAACACAAAAAATTGGGAACATTTGACCATGATTGAACATTTGGCAGTATACCCAGCAGTATACCCAGCTATGAGATACTATGAGCATGTTTTTCCTGTCAGCGATCAGCTCATCATCAAGGTAGGTTTTCGATCACCCGCCAAGGCTTTGGACCCGGTCCGGCTGCGGCTGCGGTGGTGCGAGGAGTCCTCAAAAAAACGGAAGAGGATACTCTCGGAGAGGGGCGAAAGTCCGGGAGGTGAACCTAAAAATGTGAACTTGACCAAAAAATAAAAATCACCATCCAAAAATGGTAATAGACAGTACTGTAATTTATATCATTTATTTAGTCCACAGAAATTGGGTATATGGACAAAAATGTCATGAACACGCGAGCCTGAGCATCAACCATCCCAACTAACATAGACCCTGAAAATCACTATCCCGAGCCACGGGTTGATGTCCATCCTCATATTTATCGTCCCTGACATCCTCACTACGGTATGTCCACTGTTGGCTGCAGGTATCCCCACGTTCAAACCCCAATCACTCACATGTTTATATTGCTGGTTGCATCTCCATCCCAAATGTCTAATCCCCACTTTGAAGATTTCAAAACCCCTCCGACTGGTCTGCCTTCTGGCTTACTATAAATCTATCTCTATCTCTATATATATATATATACACATATATGTGGAAGTATGTGTGTAGAGCTATATCTTCAAAAATTCCCCAGAACATATTTTTGTTGGTAACTCGCCCCTCAATGTAGGTCATGACTCCCCCCGCATCCACTTTCCCAAGGCTCGGTGAGCTGATACTTCGCCGGCACCAATCTCCCCGAGTGTGTTGGGACGCCCAACCGGAAACCGTGCCCCTGGCTGATGCTGGTGATGATGATGATCATGATCATGATCATGATGATGATGATGATGATGATGATGATTGTTCTGATGATGCAAAGCAGAAGAAATCTCCAATAATATTGAATCGAACTGTTGATTTGTATGTATAGAATGTGTATAGAATATATATATATATACGTATATATATAACATTAATAAAGGCTTCGCTTCAAGACACCTGCATGATCAAAGAGTTCAACACTAGAAAATCCTCAATTCCCCATCTGCGGGCCTCTAAAAACCTCAGGGCCCGCTTGTTCTCGCAGAAAACATCAGCCTTGATGCAGGCCGCTCCCTCCATGCGGGACAACTCGATCAAGCGCTTCAGTATCTTCGAGCCCAATCCTGCTGGGTAAAACCAGAATGTGCCACATTGAGGCGACATGTGTGTGTGTGCGTGTGTGCATGTATGTATATAATTGTATATACACGTGTATATCATATATATATATATACATATGGTCACACACACACACCCACCCAAAACCCCCCCGCAGGCATTGAAATATCTCCACTTGTCAACATCTTGAGACGGGATGGTCTGTTTTCTCATGACCCCGTCCTCTGCCTCACCCCATCGTCTGCTTCACCCTTTCATTCAGTCAATAACTGAACACATGAAAAAACATATGAAAAAAAAACTTCAAAAAAAAAATTGGCGTTCCAGCAGAGTTTCTTCAGATTTTTTTTCAGTTTCCCGCCTGTTTTCATCAATCCATTCAGATCTCCAACAAGCCATTATCTATCTACATCTTGAAACGCAATGGTCTGCTTGGCCCTTGCTCCACCTTCTTTTTGCAGTACATCTAAGTACAATTAATCTAGATATGAACAGACTGAACTTTGAAGCACATATTGTCCACCTCATTACGCACTAAAAATTGCCACAAAATCATAAGGTCAGGCTTCTATTCAGAAGCTCTTGTATATAATACAGTCTAGCTCCATGCAATTTTCATGCAAACAATGTTTCTTGTTTAAGAGTCACATTGTGAATGATATCTGTTCTTATTGAATGCAATTAAGTAAATACATCAGAGTCGTAAGGCAAAGGATAATTATAAATACACAATTCAGGAATAAACATATTGAAATATATATGCACCCTAATATCATTGAAATAGTTGCAAGAACCCTTCCACCATCCCTTGCAAACTATAACGGTTTATGCTCTAAAAGATGCAGGATATCTTGAAAAGAAGTACTGCCTTCCTTTGAAGGGACATATGTTTCTATTATATATGTAGCATGAGCTTAACATATTACATTCCTGCTCTAACATGTAATATTGCATAGAACAATGAACGGTTTGCAAAGAAACATTGTTCATTAATCTGTAGTTTTCCTTTGAGATAATACAATGTTTTTCCACAAGCAATACCCCTACAAAGTATGGAGGAGTCCTCTTAAAGATGCAGCATTCCTTTTCAAAAAGTGTAATCTTCTTCCAAGTGAGAGAGTTTTCCTGAAAAAAAAAACATTATTTCTGTTGTAAGAAACATGTTTTGTTCCTTTGCAGTTATCCTATGAGATAGTACATGTTTTCAACAGGCAATCCCCCTACAAAGTATGGAGGAATCCTCTAAACGATGCAGCATTCCTTTTCCAAAGTGTAATTTTCTTCAAAATGGTATAGTATCCCTTTGAATAAACAATATTTCTGTCCCGTTATGTAGCGTGTTTTTTATTCTTTAATATGCAGAAATCATGTCAAAAGTGCAATATCCAATGCACCAAGGCGATATTCCTTGAAAAAAAACTGCAAAGAAAGATGAATATGTGCTTACAAATGGCAATTATCCGAAAAGACAGTATAGTATTCTTTTCAAGAAACCATGTTCCTGCAAAAATATTATATATGTTCTTGACACATGTAGTATTCCGGTTGAAAAGGTTCAGTCTTCCTTGTTTGTTGTCGTTTTAAAAGACCTGCTTCCTTAAAGAAACTATTTCATTGATTTAATATGAAAGAAGTGTGCACTCTTCTTAATCAATTGTTTGAACATGTTTGAACCATTTTGCAGCGGGTCTTTCCCAAAATCATGACCACTTGTTCGCACCAGTAGTTCCTAGTGTCATAAGTATAGCGATACACACAATATCTATATATATATATATTTGAATTATTGGCTAACCACATTGCCCCTACACCAGAAGGAATAAGCATACAACCATTTTTGGAGACCTGTTTTGAGGTGGCCCACCTCCACCAACCACGAACCAAACCTTGTATCATATTGTTGGTTGGAAACGGCTATCTATTCCCAGTCTATTATATATATATAATGTATAGAGTTATTATCCAATTTAAGAAAAACATCAAACAATGGCCACCAGTCACCAACTTCAACCGCTGCCCCCCCTTAGCCCCTTCGCCATCATCCCTCCTTTCTTCCGGCACTCGGGCAAGACCTGCAAGGAGAACGTGAAGTCATCGGACATCTCCTCTCTGCTAATGCGGCCGGCGCCCATGATGGCCTTGTCCACCTCGGCCACCAGAACGATGGAGCGGTCGAAGTCCACGAAACAGGTGCGGATCAGGTGCTGGCGATCCAACGTACCTTGGGATGGGATCATGGGATGGTGCTGTGAAAAGTGCCGGGAAGGTTCTTGGTGTCCAAGTGTCCATATGAGTTTCTGATTTCTCTGCAAAAAGATTGGGAAGTCATCCAAAGTTGGAGTTTTTGAGCAAGTCATCCAGCCTATGGTTGGCGGTCGCGCGACCCTAAAAATATGGGGTATGATAGGGATAGAAACCAGCAAAAAAAATCCATGCAGATTTTCCCTGCCAGTGGTCCTTCAGCCCCCCAAGACCCAAAAAGACCCAAAAAGACATCAAAGTCAAAAGCAGGATGAGCCATTTGACATCACTTTCCATCACCTTCCCATTTTTGGTGAAACCATACCATTAGTTTATTCTGGGGAATTCTTGACATTGGCCACCCCAAGCAACTGGCCATTCAGACTTGGGATTGTGAATCCTATGGTTTGGGATCCCTATTGCTCACTTGGTCAATGGTAATAATCAACTAATTATGGTTTGTCAGAAAATTGGCTGTACCATATTGACCATATACCAAAGTTTCTGAATGCGAAAAATGATGATCCATGACATTTGCAGCAACCAAGGGTACCCCATTTTCAGTAACCCCAACCGTAAAACCAGCGACACGTCGGATGCTCCTCTTCGTTGGGCATGGAGGCTGGATCGCAGCCATCGGGCCAGCTGGCTCGGGCGTAGAAGTGCCGCATGAGACCTGCGACCGGCTGGGGCAGCAAAGAGGGTGACTTGTTTTGTGAAGACACAACCTGGGCCCCTCAACTTCCATATCAATCATCAATGTGCTCATGTTTTTTTAAGCGCCTTCATCCTCTGGCAAGATGGGTCTCAGCTTGGCTTTGGAGCCATCGTCCAGATCATAGCTACAGACGTACCTGGCGGCGAGCCGCGGCAACCGATGGTTTTTCCCGGTGAAATGGGGCTGAAAATGGCGAGGGGATGCGATTTTGCATTACCCTATTTTCAGACAAACCCAAATCAACATGAAATGCCGAGTTGGCACTGTCCGCAATAGAGAAAAAGAAAAAATAAGAGAAAAACATCTTGAAGTCGCTCTTCTCAGCAGAAAAGGATTTAAAGAAATGGGACGCCAAAAGATACCACTTGAGACTCTGGGTCCGTTGGATCCTCTGAAAAGGAAATTGACAGCTGTCCCAACTTCAGCCCAAGTCGCTGATGAGGATATGGCCGAATAGAGGGTTGTGGCAAATCCACCGCATCCACCGAAGGATCGTGCAATAGGACTCGGGCATCCAGAGACATGATGGAATCTTCTGAGGCAATCAATGGATTGATGTCGCACTCCTGGTGTAGACTCGCCCCTTCCAAATGCTATACCTTGAACAGCTAGCCATTGTCTCAAAGGAAACCACAACTCAGGTGGCTTTTGAGGTCTATATGCCAAGTGGATAACGAAAGGATATGTCATGGATCGCGGCATAGAACCAATGGATATGTCCAAAGTTCACCCAGCGTATGGTGAAAATTCCTCATGCTGACAGCTGGCATTCGCCAGTGAAGACGCGAAGACATTTGTCGCGGCCGAAATCTAAATATTCGCACAATGGATTGCTATTATCTCCACTACATCAAGTAGTTCATCCGGGTTTTGAACACTGCTCAAACGGGACAAGACAGTGAAATTAGGAATCCATGGGGTCTACAGAGCTTTTTTAAAGATCTCCAGCACCGATGCCGATTCTCAATCGCCTCCCCGGCGGCCCGGCTCCGCGATCTCTGGCAGATCCAAGATGAGCACCGAAAATCGGACCATGATTTGAATCAACTGATCCATATCCACGCTGCCCATGCCTCGCACACCCAGCAACGCCTTGTAGAGCTTCGTTTCCTGCCAATGCGAATAGCAATTTGGGCTGAATAAAGCGTTCAGATTTGGACCTGATGACCTGAACGAGAACTTTTGAACCAACCCTGCTCAGCGGTAGCTTCCATAATCTCGCGGGGGGAACAATGATCTTGGGCCCTTGCGCAGGACATGTTCGAAGCGATGCCTGAAAGTGTCTCAATGCTGGGAGCCCAGCATTTGGGCCCGGCCCCCAAAGCTGCGACCCTGCCAAAGAAAATGACAAGCCGACAAACCCAGAAATGTGAGTGAAGTCAACCCCATCCGTGAGTATCATCTCCCTTGGAATCTCCATCTTCAAATGGGTATGGGTCAAAATTAGGTACCCCAATAATTGGATGGTTAATACTAAACTAGACTAACATCTGTGGTCCCCTAGGTCTTCCATTTTGACCCACATCCAAATGAAGATTGGGAAATATCAAATGTTCCTGGTTGCTTCAAGGGCTTCAAATCCCAACTCGAGGGAGCCCAGAATGCTATGAAACCAGCGAGTATGACCCAGGTCCCACCCATCAAACATCCACATCTTTTATGGTCAACACCGTTACCCCATCTTGAAGGTTGAGACCCCCAGTTCTTCTGGTTGCCCAAGATCTATTGTATGTAATCCTCAGATATTCCTCAGTCATCTAACCTGGCAATGGTGAAAATCCAAGATTTTCATAGATATGTTTCCCATTAAAATCATTAAAAGCTCCTTTTTGCTTCGGGGATTTCCCAGATTTCCCATGGAATCCCATGAGTCTTAAGGACTCTCCGCCCGTCTCCTGCAGCATCTTTCGGGCCAGGTTGGGATTCAGCGGGGGCAGCGCCACGGCCGAATCCTGAAAGACCTGCGGAAAAACCGGGCCGCAGTCGGTCACTGGTGGCTGCAAAATGTAAAAAAAAACGAAATGGCGGGATCCAGGTTATCCATCTGGAATTCTTCATCCAAACCCAATCCTGGGGTTACCATGGTTTTTTTTCGGGACTCTGGAGCAAAGCTGTTTTTTGGGGTTCCACCTCCAGGTGAACACGAACCCACACACCAAGTCCACCATTTTTTCGATGCTTTGCTATGTTCAGACACACCCAAATCCATTATCCATTGGTTCAATCCCAGCTGCTGACACTGTCGATAGTTACTCTCTGGTAATTTAACGTAGCTATGTAGCTATGTAGCTATGTAAAATCATGGCCCTTTTGGATAGGTAAGTCATCATTTTTATGATCTATAAAAATTGTACATGGCTTCGCTATGTAACTTAAATAACCAGATGGTAAATCCCCACCAAATCTCACTAAAATATCCTGTCTTGATTTTTTTGGACCCATTAGACCACCATAAATTTGTCGAAAATCCCGCGAAAATCCGCTGCCGGGCCTCCACCAATGCTCCACCGGTGCCAAAGAGCAACACAGGGCCCAGTTGGGGATCCAGTGAAGATCCTGACAGCTGGGCACCATGGGCCCCTTCGTTGGCGTTCTGGCAATCAAACATGGCTGCACGATGGGGAAAAAAAACGTGGATTTCTTCAGGGAAATTTTGGACATGTCCATTCCCACGTTTGATTGACAAGCAAGTGTAAATGAAACATATGAAGCTGGGCTTCAAAATTGCGGACTCATTGTGGACCTCATTGACAGCAAAATTTCGAGCTTTTGAATAGACGGAAATGCCGGACATTGCAGGATTCAATTTGGAAACCTGAACACATGAAACCACTCCTCAGTAATCCAACAGGTACAGGATTCAACTTTGAAACCTCATGTAGTCAGCCTCCTGAAACTGGACGTTCCTTGTGGAAGACTTGGGTTCCCTGGGTTCCCACCCGGGTTCCCACCCGGGTTCCCACCACTTCGCCCAGGTGCCCAAGATGATCTCATAGCCCTTCAGCGAGATCATGGGCTGCACGGTGACTCCCTCGAAGCCCTCGGGCGAGGCGAGCCTCGAGACGCTCTCCTTCATGTCGTTGTAGGCCTTCTCCACCGCATAGCTGGTGTGAAGGTTCAGCACCACGCCACCCACATCGGTCTGGGATGGGATAGGATGGGATGGGATGGATCTGGAACGAGTCTGCGCCGAAGTTTCGTGGAAAGTTTGGAAGTTGCCTGTCTCAAACGTTTGAGTGGTTGGAGCTGATTGAAGCTAGTTCTAGTTCCAAATCAGGGCTGTAGCAGTCTGCCAGCATTCAAGCTCAGAGTGGGTCCGCATCATTCCTCATAACCCCATCACCATCCTTCGCAACATGCACCCCACAGAAACCTTGTGAGTGATGGTGGTAGAGTTCAACTTGATGACCACAGGAAAGCCTCAGCACATGCAATGCATGCAATGCATGCAATGCATGCAATGCATGCAATGCATCTCATCCCGGGAAGAGGTTCAAAGAATCAAAGAACACCAGAATCAGGGAATTGGGAAACACGCCAACGCCCCGATTCCCTGAGGAACACCCTAATTACCATGGAATGAGGAATTGAGATTAGAAATCATTCTATCATATCGATAATTTTGGGAACGATCTGGGTAATCTGTTGTTTTTCTCAAGTATTTTCTTCTAGTCCACGCCAGGCACTGGAAACTTCAAACGTCGTTGGAGAAATGTATGTAAGTGATAGGTTGCGCATGGCAAGTGCAAATATGTGTGTATATATATATAGCTTTTTGGCGATGTATATCAACCTTAGACCTGTCACTTGCACATACCCTGAAGCGGCTTCTGGCTGGCAGCAACCTTTTTGCTGTTGACCAAACTACCAAATCCCATACCGACGCTGTAATTTGCAATGTGTGCACCATAAACCCCAATTCTCTGGTATCCAGATACTTAATTCGAAACCCCCTTGAAACAGAATCCGAATCCATCCTAGATCGCTTTCAATGCAATCCAAACTCAAAATATCTATGATTGAAGAGTAAAACAGTTTATATAATCCCTGATTGAAGGCCATGGTTCGGTTGCCATAAGTTCTTCAGGTTTGACAGGTCACTTATTCTCACTACCAAGGCACCCATCTTCTCAGCTGCGGCGGAAGCCTCTTGGGGCGAGTTAGCCAGTTCGCAGGGCGTCACTGGAATGCCATAGGCCTAGACCGGTCACGATGATGGAAATCGAGAGCGAAAATTGGGAGAATGTCAGTTCGTCAAATGGCCATAAAATGGGGTTAAGTCTCCAGTTCTTGGATATTCGTACCATAACTGGGTTAAGAAACTATGGGGTTATAGAAACTATAGAACTATGGGGTTAAGAAATGTTGATGTTCCATAGTTCTTGGGGTCTCGTACCTCAGATCAGCTTAAAAAAACAGGGTCTTTGATGGACCAGAACCAGTCTTCAACCATCGTTGGGGAATGGCTGTGAGCCACAGCATCGTCAAATTCACCCAGTTGGAACTTCCAAAAAAAAATCACCCCATCGCCCCTAATATATCAAAAATTGACCACAATTGAAGTCATGTACGCGGATTTTGTAATCTTTCCTCTAGCAACATCACCCCTGTAAGAGGGGAAATTTAACAGCAACATCTAACCACCATGGAAGTAATTTTGACACAAAACTCAAGAAAAATGGTTTAACACCCCTGCCCAAATCCAGGCCCAGTGGGTTACATCATGAAAAAAAACATCTGGTAATCAAATGTCAATAAAATGTCCCTATATATATATTATATGATATAATATCATATAATATAATATAATAGAATATAATATAATATAATATAATATATAATATATAATACAATATAATACAATACAATAGAATACAATATAATATAATACAATGTAATATAATATAATATAGAATATAATATAATATAATATAGTATATAATATAATATAATATCATATAATATAACATAATATAATATAATATATAATAATATATAATACAATATGATATAATATAATATAATACAATATAATATAATAGAATATATAATACGTAATATAATATATAATACAATATAACATAATATGATATACATAATATAATATAATAAAACATAGTATAATATAATATAATAAAACATAATATAATATAATATAATAAATGATTTTTATTATATAATATGTATAAATTTAAAAATAATATATATATAATATAATGTAATATAATATATTTAAAAAAAATATATACAGTAATATAATATGTAATATAATAAATAATATAATATATAATATAATATAATATATAATATATTATAATATATTATAATATAATAATATAATATAACATAATATATAATACAATATAATATAATATAATACAATATAATACAATATAATATAATATAGTATAATATGATATAATATATAATACATTATATAATATATAATACAATATAATATAATATGATATAATATAATATAATAACACATAATATAACATAATATAATATAATATAATAGATGATTTTTATTATATAATATGTATATAATTTAAAAAAAGAATATATATATAATATAATATGATATAATATATAGTATAATATATCATATAATAT